CTTGGCAGCCTGCGGCATGCTACGCTCCGATACAGGCCTCAAAAACAACGGAAACTATGCACCTGTAGTGCAGGGGGTTGTCGTAGCAGCTCATGCAGTTGTGACAGGAGAAAGGCCGCACATCGACCCACCTGCACGTCCTGCTCCGACCGCAGCGTGAGAACCGCCATCGTAAGGTGCAGCTTCTGCACAGGCATCAAAGACCTGCAGCAGGAGCTTCTGAGTTTGCCAAGCCATTCCCTGCGACATGAGGAGTATCTCATGTCTTCGGTGACCTCAGAACTCTGCCAGATTCGGCCTCTGCAGTCCCTGCTGTACTTGCCCATGGGCTCGGCTCACAAGTTCCTGCAGAAGCTGCCAGGATAGAGTCTAGAGCCGCCTGCATAACGCTGCTGCTACTTGCGCAGACAACACACGTCTGCTGGAGCGAGCGCCATGGTGGTGCAAACATCGCTCTTTTGTGGCCTCTTGCAGCTTGCAAGCTCTTTGCTGTGCTTCCTCACCGACCTCAGACTCAGCAGACTTCCCGTGTCTACTGGCACGATACGCCACAGGACAGGGCTCCCTCGTCAGACCGAAAGAGACATACAAGACCTACCATTACTTAGTCTTGCAGGCCAGAAGCGCGAAGCGCAACCAAATGTGAAGGCTTGGCCACCTGTGGGCAGACAGGCCAGGAAGTTCAACCCCAAACAGCATCACCCTCGACACAGTACCCAGACCCTGCAGAGGACGTCATCATTATCCTTCTTGTCTCCCAGAGATCCTGAAAGCCAACCTTGCGTCGAGGCTTCGGGGCATCGCGCCGCTGGCTGCCTGGCAAACGCAGGCCACTGGGCCGTTGTCTGGTCTACGATATCAGTCATTTGTGTGCTGTTTGTCTTGTTTGTTTATGCCATGTCTTCACATGTCATGTATCTGGCCATGACCTTATATCATGATGCTGCAAAATCTTGTGTGTTGCAGCACGCATCAAGCACTGCAGGGCTCGGACAGGAAGCCGGTCAATTTACTGCTAATCCCACCACTTTGACAATGCCTCCCATGATCGGTAGCTGCTGGTGCCGTACTATCACGAAGTACTGCTGACAACACCACCAACTGCCTTTGAGTGCGATGGCTACACGCATGGCCTTGTCCTAGTCCTACGGTTAGGGCTGGGGTTTACGCTCTCGCAACTCGGACTCGGCCAGACGAAGTCTCTCGGTTCGTGGTCACACTAGAGTTCGGATTCTGGGCTCAAGTTTTGCTTGTGCCAGCGACCTAGATGCAAAAAGGATTCCAGTTCCAATGTGGACCGAAGTCTGCGAAGATTTCGCCAGCTTCTGGCAGGGAAATGCAGTGAGACCGTGGTAACCGCTGCGCAACAGAAATACAGTTGAAGCGCCTGTGTACATTCTCAGATTACCCCCCCCCCCCCCGGTCGCACTGACAGGGCAGGATGGCCACAGACGGGATGCTGCAGCAGGAGAAAGACTTAGAATCTGGACTTGGCTTTGCTTCCAGCCTCGTCCGCCCTTAGCAGCAGCACCGCGCCGTCGGAAAAGCAGCAGGGGTGTAGCACAGCAAGTCACGCGGCTCAGCCTGACAGGAGAGATCCCCAGAGAAACGCGAAGCATCAGCAGCCAATCTCTGCTTCAGCAGCCATGCATCACGGACTGCCCAATATCTAGTTGAAAGAGTACACTGATATTGTGTGTTTCGGAAGAACCCTACCGAGCAATACTGCCGAGACCTGTGCCAGATCCATGGGCCCCATCCTGAGATGCAGTTGGATTCTGTGTCGGAGAATAGATTCATTGTCGTTCAGATTTCGGCAATCTAAGACAAACTTAAGGGTGCTCTATCGTTGGCCAAAGAAACCCCACTGGCGATGCGAGGTGAGGCCGCCCGCAAGGACGCTGCCAGGAGCCCATGGAGGCTCCACCCACAGCACCTGCCCAGAATCGGCCCCATCCAACAGAAGCTTATAAGTCCGGCAAGCAGACAAAGAGACAGCGCGCGACGGCTCCGCAATGAGCCTCGAAAAGGTGGAAACGATTTCGAGAGCTGTCCCGAGAGTGTGGTGCCTGCTAGGTTTGCCCTGCTGGTTTCCACAAAAAGCCTATGCTGAAGCATTGAAGGAGACATTCCGGAGGTTGTGGAGAAGTGGAAGACTGCACAAACCCTTGTAAGCAGGAACCTTTTCAGCCTTCTGCTGCCTGGGATCTGCGACCACAAAACGAAGGTCGATAATGTACTAGCCATGCTGAAAGAACTGTTGTTTTCAAGTTACATCGGTTTATTCAATCTTCGGGAATGATTTCGCAAAATGCCGAGAGTCGAAAACTCTTTATTGAGAGGCGTGTAAAAAGAATCCACAAGAAGTGTTTGCGTTGTGTGAAAGCCGTGCGTTTTGGAACTCTGCCCGCCAAAACATTGAAATGCCAATGTGCACATTGCACCAATCACTGCTGGGAACCTCGGTACCTAAAGAACTAAGCAATCCATGCTCCTAGGGCACATTCATTGACGAGCTTGATGTCGCACCATTTGTTGGCTAGAGAAAGTGCGACTTTACACCCGATGCAAGAGTCGAAAAACACTAAGAAACTACAAATTTTGCAAGAGGTCCCGCTCCGAATAACTCTGGAGAGCAAGGTGCATTAAGCCTTGCCGGGACGACGGTGTTCAGAAAGTTTGGCATACTGTAGCACAAGGACTTCCCAGCAGATAGCTTGAAGACTTTGTCGATGAGCCGAAACAAACACAGAGAGAGAGAGAGAGAGAGCGACGGAGAGAGAGAGAGAGAGAGAAAGAGTGAGAGAGAGAGAGAGTAGATAGTGCGGGGAGAGAGAACAAGAGGGAGGCAAAGGCCGCGACAGAGAAGCACAAACAAAGGCACAGACAGAGAGTGAGAGCGAGAGAAAGAGATTAAGCATGAGATATTCAGGGCAAGAGAAAGAGCAAGTGCAGAGGCGTTGGGAAATAATGCCATGCCTGGTCAGTCGGGGCATCTGTCTCGCTGAGCTCCCGGAGGTTTCCACTGGGCGTGTCCGCAAACAGGCGCCGTGGCTTCCAGACCTCTGTCTTTGGGTGTATTTGGGCTTGGGCTTTCAAGGTTCAAGGCCCCAAGGCCCTAAACCAATCGAAAGGTCGTGCTTCAAAAAATTCGCGAAACGCACAGGCGCAATAGAAACCTCTTTCAGTGTTGTGGAGCATGGCCGCCACTGTGGCCTGTGCGAGAAAACACCATAGATTGGGGCGACCCGGACGCAAGACCCCGCGACAATAGGGCTCGCATCGTGTATTGTACCACCGCATCATGCGGCTCGTTCGGCAAGAAGGCATGGCAATTTGTGTTCGGGCAGGTGCTGGGCAACTAGTCACTTTCGGTGGAAGCTGTCCGGACTTCGTCCGTCGTATTTCCTAATCCCACATGTAGAGGTGCAGTCTGGTCCGCATGCTTGGGTTTGGTGGGTAAGAATGTTTTTTTTGGCGTCGTTGCGGTGGCGCGTGTACTTTTTGCTGTCGTGGCGGGGGCGCGTTAATTTTTGTTGCTGTCGTCGCGGTGGCACGTTTATTTCTGTTGCTGTCGTTGCGGCTGCGTGTGTTTTTGCTTTTGCTGTCCTCCCCAGGGGCTCGTTGATTTTTTTGCTGTCGTTGCGGGGGCGCGTTTATTGTTTTGCTGTCGTCCCGGGGTCTATTTTTTTGCTGTCGTCGCGGGGGCGCGTTTACTTTTTTCCTGTCGGGGGACGCGTTTATTTTCTTGCTGTCGTTGCGGGGTCGCGTTTATTTTTTGCTGTCGTTGCGGGAACCGGGGTTCACTCACTCACTGGCTTCCTGGGTCCGCGCAACGACAACAAAAAACAACTTAAAGCAACTACAGCAGAAAACTAAACACGGGTGCCGGTTTGGTGCATCACAGCCTCAAGCTTGCTCGAAGACTTTGGAGCCACAGTGCAGCAACTTGGCAGTGGTCTCAGGGGTCGACGTTGCCGCTCTCTGGATGCACAAAGCCAAGCGCTCTGGCCGCAGTCTCTTTCAGGGCCTCGAGCTTTACATCAACAAGGACGAGTTTCTGCTATAGCGAGACCTGTGACCCGGTACCGACTACAGGATGATACATACATACGTACATACATACATGCATACATACATACGTACATACATGTGTTGGTTCTGGCATGGAGTTCCAGAAGCGACACGGCAAAATGTCATGATTTCTAAACCTACAGGTTGCCGGGATTGTCACAAGGAACACCACGTACCTGTGTGTATATACTTTAGCTGCAGAGTCATGTGTTTACTCTTGTGCCATGTTCAATATTTTATTTTTTGCTTAGCTTAGGTTGTTCAGACGAAACATGGCGAAGCCAATGCACGGATGAGGGATCGATGCATCAAGTTCGGAAAAACGAGCATAAAACCCAATTTTCGCTCAATGCAAGTTGGGACCCGAAGTTGTCTAACAGAACCAAAGTCCCAAGTCCGTCAAAGTTCTCTGCACTTTGGGTGCAATTTACAGGGTCTGTAATTGCGACAGACAGTTACATGCAGATGACTGTGTGTGAGTGCATGTGTAAAAACCCCTCAAGACAGTGACACTCCAGACTCTGAGAGGCCTTCAGCGACTTCGGCGCCGAGGACGCTTCAGCCACGCCAGGCTCGGGGCCACGCAGACCCAGGACTCCGAAGCGGCGCATGCTACCGGCTGACAAACCAACAAGCAAGCTTTGATATATGATGCAGTATGTAGCTATCACCAGCATCCGCATCAACATCGTAAACCCTCAGCGTCTGCTAGTGCTCAAGACTAATCAAGACTACACATGTATCTTGGCTGTGCCTAAAGCAGGTCTTCAGCCCTTGTATCGTCGGGCACGCCATAGCCGTGCCAGCATCTGTGAGAGAGAAGGGTCTACAGCATCTGCGGTGAAGCCATGTTGCACACCGACTGCGTCAATCTATGAGCTTCATGGGTTGACATGACTCATGCCGTGATGCAAGGCTTTTTCCGATCATGGCAGGCCGGCGAAGGCTGCTGGCTTTTCCGAGGTCTCCAGGCCAACCAATCGCTCGCTCCTTGGCGGGAGAAAATTTGGCGGCGTGGCTCTTCTCAATAAGACGGCGGGCGCCGTTCAACCCGTAGACGCCCTCTGTCACTGACTCTTTTCCTCACAGTGGAGGACCTAATTCTATGTTGCCTGCTGAGGATCTCCCTCCAGAGCTCTCGCCAGGTCTCCGTGTCATAGGATGTCGCTGCCTTCTCCGGCGGAGCAACAGCCTCACAAGCCGCGGTGTTCCGGCGTAGCAGACACGTTACAAAAGTCAGACCTTAGGAATGTATATAAGCAAGCCTTGAGAAGCCTGGACAGAATGCGAAGGGCCCGCATAGGTGGGGGCAGAAGCCCCTGCACCTCGCACGGACAAGTTAGGCATCGGCACGATTGCAGACCAACAGTCCACGAACATGGCAAAGGTCTACTGATAGCAGGATGCCTCGGTGTCCAACGATGCCGAAGGACGACCGTCCTCGAGAGCAGAATTACAGAATCGAAACTTCCGCCAAAGCAAAGGCCTTGAACATGACTCGTGAAACGTACGGGTACGTCAGAGGTCATCTTGCGCAGAGGTCCTGCCAGTAGTACCCTGAGAGCTTACCTTGATCCGAGGTGGCCAGCAGCACCGTGGTTCGGGCACCTGTGATTCCGAGAGAGAGTGAGAGCCTGGTAAGAACGAGCTTGAAACACACCACAAGTATCTGTAGGACGAAAGTCCGAGACCAGGTCTTAAGAGATTTGAGGTCGCCAAATGCAAGTCGTCTTTAGTGCCTTCCTCCGGACTCTGCACGATGAGGTCCAGCAAAGGCTGAACCACGGACTTGAGAGCCTGGTAGACTCCTGGCGGTCGACGTGACTAGTGGCTACGTTGACTCGCACCTCGCACCTCACTCCGACCATACGTGAATCAAGCAGCGCAGGAGGCTGTGGAAACGAAGGCCCTCTCTGCTCTCTGTGCTTGGTGACTGGCGCCTTCCAAGGGCCCCAATTTGTCTTCCTCCTGGTTTTGGGGCAAGTGCCGCTTCAGCTCGGTGGCCACGGCTCCTGTGCAGGCATCAGGTCAGCCTCATGTGTCTTGCTTCTGATGCATGCAAGCATTTGCAACTTCCACCAGAAAATTAGAAGGTGGACTGCAAGTCATGTATAACGAACATTGCTTTCATGCACTCTGTTCTCCTACTCTCTTCCCGTCTGGTGTTTCGAGCAGCCTGGGTGGATGGCATTTGAGGCAATGGGGATGCCACCAAATCGACAACGACGATCCAGCTCGTAAGCAAAGAGCAAATTGCACAGCTTCGCTTGGCCGTATGCCTGTGCGACAAGGAGCGGGAAGTCTTCGAGATGAACGATCCATGTTGCACTGTGGCAGTTGATGCTTTCGAGATCAAACTGGCTTTCGAATGTTTATTTTCTGGAAGGCCCCCTCTCCACTTCCACAAGCTGCACCTGCCATGGAGCGTACTTGTTGGCCGACTGCAGATCACTCAAATCACCTCTCTGGAGCGCAGAGGGGATGAGATGAGCCGATGAAGAGAGGCTGATAATGCGACCAGGATCTCCTGAGGAGGCAAGTTGCATAACCTACGCAGCGCGCGTCAAGTTTCTACGAGACTGACATTTCGCTTCATGAGATCAAACTTAAGCAAACTCAGCATCTGGGTGAAGCTGTCACAGCCATGTGGTCGACCAGCAAGTTTGCAAGTAGGAAGTGGCCCAGGTAGTTGACAGCAAGTTGGTACTCATGTCCATCACGGGTTTCCTGCCTTTTGCCAGGTCGTATTGGCTTGGATGGATGCTTGCTGTCACTGCATACAACATCATGCAAAGCTCTGATTGATGTCTTTGCCTTGACAGAACCTGTTTGAAGCAACGTTGGCCTTGATGGCAAAGCCATAACGCCAGCATTCAGCACGAGGCAGTGGAGAGGCAACTGGGCAGGGTGGTTGCTGCACGGACGACTCCTTCAGTGCTCTCTGCACGACTTGCCAGCCTCCATGGCCAAAAAATCCGCCACGAAGCCGCGCACGGATGCCAGCGAGTCCAGCTCCAAGGGCATGTAACCTCCACAAACATGTCAATGGACACAGCGTGCCAGTGGCTGCTAGTGGAGACAGCCAACTGACCGGGTTCAGTTTGGAATCAGCTTGGAGTTGCGTGAGGTCAACTCGGGCGGTCTGACTCCATGTGAAGCCGAGACTCGCAGCTCGGCGACAGGCGAAAGCTGCCTGGCATGTTTGCCAACCGACAAGTCCGCAGGCAACGGTGAATCTGGAAGGTCGCATAGCGACTGTGAGGAGGGGTGGCAGCGCAGGTGCTCGACGCAATGGCTCGAAACACAGAAAAACAGCAGCATCCCCTTGCTGCAAGAGCAGGGTATGAACGGTGGCGCCAGTAGCAACGCCTTGCATGACTATAGAACTATAGATCATCCCTGAATTGGCTAGGTGAAGAGTTGCCGAAATGCCTGAGCAAGGCTAAGTGAGGGTAGCATAGAAGTTGGTAGCTTAATTGTAGGTCTATGGGGCTGGGGGCTTCGTGCAACACCATACTCATTGTGCGTGTGTCATTATCGAAACAAGTTGGCCTGATACAGCTGATATCGGAGTACCCTAATCAGATGAGTGATACCTTTGATAAGATATGTTGATAGCAGAGTTTTCTTGACTGCTTATTCCCCCTAAATTTTCCAACCCTGCACGGGGCTGCCATGCCCAGCATAGGTGATCCAAGCGCAAAGGTGGGGCTTCTTGAACAGGCCAGCCGACAATCGCAGCCCAAGCAGCTGACGCAAATGATTTCCACCCTTGTGGAGCCCTGGACTTGCTCATTGCTGCTGTCGCCGGCACATCAATTTCTGATGCTCACGGTCGGATGCGTTCAATGGTTCCCGGGTCGACAACCCTGATGAGACAACCGTCGTTCTCGCCCATGTACTCCTGGCACAAACCCCTGAAACCCCCTCCAAAGGCTAGAACTTCATCATTCACTTCACTTCTGCGCCTGAGGCTGTCCAGCGCCTTCTCGTGTTTCTCCTGGCTCCTACCGGCGAGGACGATCAGACCTCAACATCCCGCCAAATTGATGAAGTTTAACCCGTTCAGTTCAAGTCGCACAAGCAATTCCACAACAACCGGCCGAGGCACTAAAGTTACCCGATGTGGCCAAGGACTGCGCTGTGGCGAGGCCCAAGCCGGTAGAAGCGCCGGTCACCTTACATTCTGACAAAACAACATCGTCTATGGGACTATGGGGTGCCTCTGAGTCTATGATCGTCTGTGATGTTTCGCCGGTAATATCACGAGCCAAGGGAGGAGGTACGCGATGGGATGGGCCTTAACTGAGGATAACTGAGGTTGACTACGCTGTGCAGCAGGTCAGGTGCTGCTGGGACACAATTGCCACACGCCCGCGCGATGCTGAGGCCTCCCGAAAATAACATGACCGAACTCGAGGTGCAAGGCTTTGCAAGGCCCTTGCAAGCCTCCTGTGTGGCCCTGCGTACAGTCGACCAAGCTTCCTGTGGGACAATCGAACATGCCACCGCAGCGCCCACGTTGTGCAAAGATGCTTGGCACTCGGAACTTTAGGGCTTTGGGGTGGAAGGAAGGCTGTGCCAAAAGAGAAGCAATTGTAGCAGTACCAGTATTCCTCACGGGGAACGCCTTCACCTCTGCCCCCTCCTGCGATAAATCGCTCTATGCGCATGGGGAGCAGGCCCTCGCTTTGACCATGGGTTTATCATGGAAGAAGCCCCAAACTTCATTGCCGAAACTGCGTAACGATGGAAACAAACAGCTGCGCAACAGCTGCTTTCGCGTTTCCATCCGGACGGTCAGCGTTTCGGATGGCTTTATCCCCCTGCTGGGTAACAGTCGCCCGCGGAAGTGCTCAAAGCCAAGGCCTCCACTTTGGCCCGCAGCAGCTTGGTCAAGCCGGCATGCTCAACTGTTTCGGCCATTGTCGCTAGGGTGCGTTTGAGAAGCTGCTTCAGTGCGTGCCCGTTCTTCTCGCAATGCATACACTCAGAACCCGCTCAGAGTGTCAACAGCTCCCTGTCTTGCTTCTTGGTTGGGACGTGGTCGGATGAGGGAAGGGAGAGGGGCAAGGTCTGCAAGGGCCACCCACGTCGGATCCTGTCGAGGTCGTAGCAGCACGAAGACGACGACAACCAGTCCCAGCCGCAGTTTTGAAGCCATTGCAGAGGCAGCACTAGCGGCTCGATACAAGCTCTACATGTTATTGTTTTGGTTGGCGGTCAGCCGCCGTGAGCCAATAGCCGAAACTTTCATTTAGCAACGCCACGGCATGAGTTTTTGCAAGAGATTCGTTTAGATGAACGTCGTCTGCATGCTGGCCAGGTCCTTGGTGCACCTGCAGCTTCTAGACCCGGTCCCCGTGCTAACGGTGCCTAGTACATGTATTGCAGCTATGCAACTAGCTGACTAGCTCACAAGTAAGAAGTAAAGGAGTCCAGCCACAAGTCTTGTCAAGCTTGAGACACAATTCATGCCATCCACATGCCCGCTCGCAGCACTCCTGCCCGTGCTCCAACTGCATAATTTTCTCACAGAGCGAACAGCCGCTGTAATCATCAGCGAGCAGGATTCGTCAGAATATTTATTTACAAATTCGTGACAGGGCAGAGCGAACAATAGAAGCCCGACCCAAGCCATTTGCGGCATCGACCTTTTGAAATCTGAACGGCCGCAGCCACTCTTTCGCGAGTATGCCTTTGGCCTCTAAGACGGGAGCCGCATGCATGCACGGAGCATGTGTCTGTGCACATCAGTCATCCCATTCGCATAAGCTCCCTGCTTCCGAAACAATACTCAGAATACTCACTCAAGCACCCACCCTCAGGCCCATCTCAGGAACTTGAGCAGTGGGCTGCACCGGAAACAGCTGCATCCGTCTCCGTGCCACAGCGCTTTTCACGCAAATCGGCATCACACAACTCAGACTCACCACTCCTGCTGCTATGCCTCATCAGGGCGGGATTCTGGATACATGGGCATCTCGTCATCGAGCTATCGTGCCAGTGGTAGGGTCTAGCTGTGATAATGACCATTAATGACGAATACCGACACCTTCATGCAAGACAACACAGACTGCCAGTACAGGGACGGCCCGGCCTATGACGGGGAAGACCAGCTGACACAACCTGCAGCGGGAAGCGTGTGGTGATCTCGCGTAGAGCATCGCAAAGCAAAAATGCGCCAAAACTATCCCAAAGTTCAAGCGGAGCCATCCGAGCCTGGGCTGCCGTGCCACCAAGGCTAAGCACATGGAGCCAAAGCACAGCTCCGGAGTGCATGAGCCGCAAGCATGATGGAACTCCTGCGTCGAGAAACAAGCTTCAAGTCCCCAGCATCGCCCGGCTGAGGATACACTGTGCAGGGTGGCGCATGTCGGTGCAACAGCCAAGATGTGCTGTGGACCTAGGAATGCCAAGGACCTGGCAGCCTCGCAGCGGTCCACCTCCGCGCTCAGCCTCTCCCAGACCTCTCCGAAATAGACAGCAACCGGACTGGAGCAGCAAGGCATGCCGTAGCTACTAGTTGCTGAAGACCTGTCTCAGCTTCGGTTGGACTTCATTCTGGACGGCACGGTATTCTTGCCGGCACAGTGTCCTGAGCATGAGCTGCATGACGCGCCCGCCACAATCCCGAGCTAAGACTTCCGAGCATGCGGCCGCCTTGCACGAGCGGGAAGGTACTGGAGCAAACAGGGCAGGATTTCCGGCTCCAAAGGCTCACTCCTCGCATGGTCTTACGCAAGACGAAAAAAGGCATTGAATCAAGGAGCATCCGTGGCCTCGGAGGGCTGCCGAGTTTTTGCTGCCCATCCTCCTTTGCCAGATTTCTCATCAGCTGCGGCTGTTGAGAGAAGATGATGCAGCAACCAACAGGCCACGGACCCTCGTGGTAGCGTCCAGCAACATGTCAGGGATCGCCTGTCGCATTTTAATGCTCGCTGTGTTGTGAGACAACAGCAAGGGTCAAAACAAAAAACTTGTCACGGAAACAGATGCCTCATCTTGAGAAGCCTCACTCGTTTTGTTCCGTTTCATGCAACGGCATGCTGAATCAGAGCGGAGCTTCGAATTCTTGCTTGTTTGCTCGCTTGCTTCGAGCTGGTGGGATCCCGTCCCTCCGATGCCGCACGGTGCAGCAGAAGACCACGCTTGCACTAGGAGGTCTAGAGGGCTTGGCCACTGCAGCTAACGGTGTGTTGGGATGAAATGACTGGAAAGAAGACAGCCAAATATGCCAAGTATGTTGCAACAGTCTCCGCCTCGAAAGCCATGGCTGGGCTCGGAATGGGTCCCCGGTATCGGACTGCTTGATGCGACAGCGACATGTCATGTGATGGCAGCTTCAGTTATTGCAGGCTTGGAATACACGCTAAAGCCGTCGACGACTTTCTCTCTTCGCCAGAAAGTGGGATCTGTCTGTAAAGCTCAATCCGCAGGACATTCGATGGAGGCTTGGGTACTGCACCCTGGGTCGGAACTTCTTGCGGAAAGAGCTTCCTCAGTCTCCAATAGTGCCTAGGTTGAAACATCAAAGCGATGATCAAAGATTCAGCTGTTCAGACCTTCTTGGTCTCCCTGGACCCACGCAGCCGTTCGAAGCTGGCATCCCACTCTCAGTGTATCTGCGCAGCGAGCTGTGAGTCAAGACTTGTCAATCAGCCGTAAGTTCACGTGCAAGAGATGCTGTGGTTGAATTTGCATGCAACCCATCAAGAACGATCTGCGTCAGCATAGGTCCAGGCTGTCCGTTAAAATATCTGCAAATTGATCGGTCGACTGTCGGAGGAATGGTGGTGCTCATATGTCGCCCACGAAAGCCTGGCACATCAAGTGTGACGTGCTTGCCGCCATTGCTGCTTGCCCTCGAAATGTGGGCTGCAGCGGTAGACCCTTCAACACCCCTGTTCTCGAGGAAACGGACTGGGCCTTCGGGAGATCAAAGCTCAACCTTACAAGCTCTCTTTCAGAACACACTCCGGGTCGAGTCGTGAGCACAAGCCAAGTGGAGCGCCGTCTTGTCTTCATATACGCCAGCCGCCAGCTCCTCACAAGTCGTAGTCGCTGGACCGGCTTTGCAACTGCCCAAAGCAGACCTTCTCTGCTCCGCTGGTGTTCTTCACGGTGACGGTGCCCTTGAAAACAACACCCTTGGCCAGTTTCACGGCTCCTGGCAAGAAGTGCCCCCGAAAAGCCGAATTCATTCAACGGCTACGAGCAATGGGCCCTCCTTCAATCACCAGCTTTTTGCATCCGATGAGAGACGGTGCCCCATTTGGTATGAGCTTCTCCTCCAAGGCATCCTGGCTTGCAAGGAGACCCAACAGGGGAAAACAAGTTTCGTCTTTCCAACTGCTTGCAAGAAGCAGCAGTAGCATGGCAAAAAGCTGTTCAAGCACTATCCCCTGCACCCTTTTACACGGACTGCCTTTCGATTCCAACCGCCGAATCTTGCATGCATCCTAGGTGCTGTAAACTTGTACATGCCATCCAGCTTCACATCAGGAGGAACTCCATTTCGTTCTGGTGCGAGAACGACAGTGAAGTCCTAACGGGCAACTTGGGGCTGCAAGCCAGTCACGCTGTTCGCTGACTTGTGCTCGCTGCAGGTGGGAGAGGGCTCGCAGTCAGCCTTGCCCTTGTCTAGCGGACCGGCCAAGGCTTCGGACGGAAAGTTCAAGCGGTCCAGACCAACGAAGGCTCAGGCTACGCGGCTGTCCCAAACCATGAGAGGAGAGAGAGCCCTGTGCAGTCCTCCTTGTTGCTGCTGCTGCTGTTCTTGCTGGTGTTCTTAATTGTGGTTGCGTATCCATATTGATACTGACTCCCGCCTGGAAAAATTCCGGACGTCCTATGACAGAACTCGCAGCTTTCCGGCCTTTGACCTACCCTGCTAAAGCAGAGATGAACTCAAGCCTTGCCCCCTGCAAAAAGCCTACGTACAGCTTACATTAGGGCCTACATGTACACACATGCGCCCGCACAACACCCCACAGCACACACGAAAAGTGCCCATGGCCAGGATCAGAACCCAACCTGAGACGGGACCACAAGCGACGACATAGAAGATAAAGCTCAGCGCGGAGTGTTTGTTCGTCACAACTGAACGGGCTGAGGACTGAGGCGTACTGCGCAAATCTTTCCTGACCTTGCTCATTCTGGCTTGCGTCCTCCGTGAGTAGGTAGGCATCGGATCGCAACGCCAGGAGGTCCTTAGACACGATCTCTCTGGGGTAGCAGTAAAGCCTGCTCCAGGCTTCAGATTTAAAGCTCCATCTACTGCTTTATACTTTTATACATGCACTCAAGACTCGTTTGTGGTCTTCACCGGCGCGAAACGTGAACGAGGGATAACCAGAGCGGACGCACCTTCTTCAACGACAGATGATCAGAAACACCAGCTATGAATCTTCCAGCGGACTTAGCAGCACGAACCGCCGCACTGCTCTGCTGGTCATGTCAGCCATCCGGCCAATCCTTTATGTGGTCTCCTATCTTTTGCTGTGAATGTGAGACAGGACTTTACATCCATGCACACCCAGCCCCTTTCCAGACACAGACCTTCAAAGCACTGGATGGCAGCCCCCATGGCCGTCTCCAGCTGCAAAACTTTTGTGGACTTCTTGTCTCGTGGGTCCACAGTCTTCGAGTTCCTGAGCTGTGAAATGCAACGGCTTGCATGTCAGAGACTTGCCAACGAATGCGACCGGACCCAGATTGACCTGGTTCGCCAAGCGTCTTCATGACCGGAAGAGGCAGTGCTCCGTCATTCTTCCTGAATTCCCTCTTCAGAGCTGCCAAGTCCACCCAGAGGTTGTTGGTGTTGAAGAACCTGGACTCAGACTGCTGACCAGGACAAATAACTATGACCAATGCTAATTTATCTGCGGGCAGGTGGCTTGTACTTGCCAACATTCTGGAATTCCTTCTCGTCCTGCACACAAAACAAGAGGAAGTGGCAGCAGTCCGCCGATATCACTTGGCTAGGATACACCTCTTCGGGGCACTGAGCAGACTCGCGGAGGAGGAGACCGCCGGTTGCCTGCAGGGGCAGGGTCCGAGTCAGCAAAAGAACAACACCAACAGGGGCAGAGTCAGCAAGCAGACCGGACGAAAGTCATCAACAGCACAGCCGCACTCAGCATACCTGCGAGCTAATATCGGAGACGACCCAGCCCGAACCGGCAAACACCTTAAGAAAATGCCATGTGACGTCAGCACATCTAACACAACCACATGCTCCTGGACATGTACAGTAGCGTAAACTTGCCTGACATTTCCACGTTACACTCTTTCCGAGGCAGGCGATATGCGAGGTCAGCTCAGGCGCTGAGTCCGAGGGAAACTTGCGTGGAGCCGCAACTGCAGTACTTATAGGTGCAAGTCGCTCCTGTTTCATGTGTTCCACATGAACCTTCAGGCTTCCTGAATGGAGCTTCCCTGTCTCTGACCTCGGTGGCTGCTGGCCTGTGACTTGCGGCCTCTGGTTTTCTGAAATACAGCTGCTTGTTTGCTGACTCGATTTGGCGACACTGGCCTCGACTTGCTGACACAAGCTACTCTGTTGCCTGCAGGCTGCTTCCACGGCTGCCACAATACCACAAAACAGAGATGAGCAGAGTAGCCACTTATAATGCCCCAGTGTTGCTAGGTCCTAGGCGTCATCCGGGCCTTGTCTTTTGCCAGGTGTCCACCTTTCTTGTCCTGTCATGGCTGCGTCATACAAGAACCTGGCGGCCCCAGCCCGTGACTGAATCTAAGGTTGGAGCAGCATCAGTGCGTTCCGCGACCTCCATCATGAACGGAGCACCAGATTGCCTCAGTTGCTCGAGGTACCCTAGAGCTCGGAAGTGATCTTCCTCGTTCCCTGAAAGCTCCAACTCCGGTCAAAGCTGCACGAAGTGAGTCAGAATTTTGAGGTCCATGGTCGCCCCAAGGTTGTCCGAGTTGGAGACGAACATGTACCTGTAGCCTCAGGAGGCCGCAGGTGATCCTGCATACGCAGTTGTGTAGTTGTCCACTCCAGGGGCTTGGCCCTTCTTCAAAAGCTTCTCCAGCGTGCCGCTCCTCCCCATCTCTCGCACAGCATAACAGTTGCATGAGTTCTTGCAAGTAGTGCTCTGCCCTGAGATCGATGAATTCTGCTGACAGGCAGCTAGTCCCCGCAGGTGCTCCTAAATCCTTCACTGCGCTACGCATGGTCGGTTGCAATGTCTGCTCAGGTGTCCCGAGCAGCGCTGGGTACAAATCGCCATGGCCCGGCGGGCCTCGGCTGCAAAGCGCATATCGAGCCTTCTTAAAGCCAGAGATTCTGAGACTCGCGACTAGTGACTGGGGTTTAGCGGTGTCCCATTTCCCCACACAAGGAAGCACGTCCGTCAAATACCGTTGAAGCCTGGCCCAAAACCTGTGTGCAGTAAGCGGTCGAGGCACACCACTCCACCCCTGGATCTGCGCTCCAATCGGCCGGCGAGAAGTCGCTTTCGGTGACCTTGGGCGCCTTGTTCTGAACGAACCTGGACAGCTTAAGCTGCAGGTGCCATCATGCCTGTGATCAGCAACTGTCGTAAAGGATTGTTTTCAAAAAGATGCTGAGACATGCTGAGCCCAAGCAGCTCAAGATCTGAGCCAGTTCCAAGCTCCGTGTACTTGGAAAGGGCGTCCAGCGTGTCCTTCAAGCATGGTGCGCTTGTCTTCTCCACCTGGTTATTGCTTGCACGAAATCCGGAAATGCCTTCGAAGTCGAGAACGAGTTCATAAGCATGAACTTCAAGTCCTTGATTCGCATGGCAGACAGCTTCACCGTCACATCGAAATGTGGACAGTTTCAAAGGGGATTTGCAGACATAGAGCGCTGGCTAAGAAGGTGCAATCAGACAATCAACTCGTGCTGCACAAGGAACGGTCTTGAAGGTCTTTTTGGTCGCTGCCACCTGCTTTGCAATCCTTGCTCACCGAGACGCATGCAAGATGCCAAACTCCCACTAAGGTCATTAAGGAAAGCGAGCAGCAGGTCAAGGAAGCTGTTGCCCTCGGTGACCGTGAGAAGGGATTTGGCCTTCTCCAAGCCCATGCCTGACAGCATTGCGATACGTGGCTTTCTGTTCTTCAGATCTTTTGCAAAGGATCCGAGATCGAAGAAATCTGAGGAAAATCCAACCCTCCCCCACCTGTGCCCAGCCCTCCGTTCAGCTTCAAGATGAGGGTCTTCCGCAGCAGCCTGGGATCCTGATGAGGGGATATGCGAGCAGTGTGCCGAACGCATGCTTGATGTTCTCTAGTGGACATAAGCAATCCCCTCCCGTAAATTCCCGCAACAGAACCCCCTGATGAGAATTTGGGGTACTTCCGGCCATGGCTGGCTTGGACCCAACCTGCAGCCTGCATCCTTGGCCGAATATTGAAACATCCCGGGCACAAATCCTGCCAGGCAGTGGCTAGGGCCGGCTGGGGGGCAAAGGATGAATGTCACACCAGAAAGCCATGGCATGAAGACACGAGATCACAAAGACGACCGAGTTCTCGAAGCCATGAGGGCACGGGCACAGCCAAAAAGCAATCATAAACATAGGAGCGACAGCTCGGCGCTGCGGTTTGGCACGTCCCTCTGGCAGTTAAACAGCCACAACCGATGAGGCAGGGAATTGCCGCGTGTTTATTAGTGCCGGCAGGATCCGTCAGGTAGAGTGCACTTGGCACAACATGGTTCGTCACCAGCGTCACACACACACACACACACACGCACGAGCTAATTGCCATCAAGTCTCTGGCTTTTCCTTCAGTTTCTCGTACCTCTAGCAACTTGCGGATGCCAGGAATGAGATGACACGCCGATACTACGGATCCAACGAGCCACTCGGGCAGCTTGTCGACTGGGTCCAGCTTGCTCTCTGGAATCATCACCTTTGAGCCAAGCTCGACAAAGGCTCAAAATCAAGCAGCAAGTCGCCCTCAATTTCTGGGACCCGGCATCAGCACCGGAGACGAGAACGCCTCAGAGGACTTCCATCGTTCGGTTCCGTTTGCCCAAGGTGGCTTTAAGCACCGGGGCCATAGTTGTATTTGAAGGCCGCAATGGCAGATTCGTTGAGGTCTTCCTTCAGAATCTGCTGCCCCGCTAGAGTGGCTCTTCGCCGACCTACACCGCTCTGCAAAAGAATTGCCTTCTTCATCTTCTCCTCATACTTAGGCCACATGTCCACCATTTTCGACGGCCCCACCTGCAATTTCGGCTTCTCGCACGAAGCGCGTCTCGCCACATGCGCAGGCATGTCATGACTTCCCCGGCCTTGGACACAATGTCCATAAATGTGGGCTTCAGCGATGCACCGCCCACCAAGAATCCGTCGATGTTCGGCTTCGTGATCAACTCCTGGACCCACCACGCGGCTGCAACACCCGTCCGCCAGGGCTATGAGACACATACACACAACAGTCAAAGCAAAGGCACAGCGCAGTTGTCGGGAGTGACACTGCCACCATACTGAATTCTCACCTGGCGGCAAGAAGCTGAAACACTCTTCCAGAAGCGGCAAAGTCGCAAAATCTCGGAGCTCCCATGCGACATGAGCAGAGCACATGCTTTTCTCACCAAAGCAGTAAAACGAAACGTGGTGAGTCACTCAGCTGTGAGGCTTTGTCTTTGGCGTTGCCCTGTGAGGCTCCCGTTTTGGGTTCATGGGGCTTGGCGTGCGGGGTCTGGCAAGGCTTCGAAGGTAGGACCTCAGTTGCTTCTGGCTGAGCTGAGCGTCCGGTGACATTGGAAGCCTTAGCGGCCAGAAAACAGTGCACAGTTCGGAACCGTAGGACTACGTAGCACTGCAGCTCCTTCACTGCCGCAGCTGTTTTTCAATCGGGTATGGCCTCGGGTCTTTTGACAAAGCCGCGTTTGGGTTTCGTTGACGGACTGCTGCTGGGCCTGACTAGTACTTGTGGAAGTGAACGCCGAGAAATTCGATCTATGATCGCTAACTAAAGGCTTCTGGAGTGCGTACCGACTGCACCGACGGTCTGAAGATGTCTGAAGCAATTTTGAGAGGATGGCCAGTGCAACCAAGCAGCACAGATGAGCTCCCGCTCCTGTTCGGTGAAGTCCTCGGCGGTGATGTAGAAGTGGAAGCTTGGCTTCTTCTGGAGCGCGTCCCAATGCGGTCCCGGCTTTCGGGCGCCTTCGCAGCGTGTGCTTTTGCCTGAGGCGTTCCGGCAGATGCCTTTTTGCGAAGTGGCATCCAGGCATCTGCCGTTGGTGTGCGGGTGCTTCCTTGGGGGAGTGCGCGCCCGCGCTCGGATCGGCTCTGCTTTGGAGCCGCAGTAGCTGGTGAGTTATGCGAAATTCGTGAAGCTGCCCTGTCCAAGTGTGTGTCAGGCTTTGCTGAGTGGGCTGGTTTGCCCAAAGCCGCTGCGGGTAGTGCAGGTGCCGTCGCCGCACGCTCGCTGGCGTGAGCTGCTTCCGACTGCACAGCCTCCAGCTCTGTGCTGTGCACCGCGATGGCCTCCTGGGATAAAGCCATGGAGTCGCAGCTGACTGCAGAGAGGCATTCGGAGAAGGTTGTGGCTGGGCCTGGGTGGCCGACTTTTTCAGGTAGCCCGGCAGGCTCCACGTGCCCTGCGTGCTCTGCATCCTCCACATGCCCTGTGAGCTCCGGACTCAATGCTGACTGATCCTCGGCTTCGGTGGGGAAAATCCCAGCAAATTCCGAAGATGGGTCAGGCTCGGCAGCCATGGTGGAGCCACCAACGGAGGTGGTAAACGGTGAGAGACCATGCTCTTGAGGTGCAGGCTCAGGGGGTGGGCGAGCTTTTTCCTCCCAGCTTGTCGGGATGAACATGTGTTCTTCCCACCCTGGGGGGATAAGAACTGTCGCTGGGTCATGAAGAGCGCTGGCAGCTTCACCACCCACAACGCGTGACAAAGCCGCGCGGACTTTGGCAAAGAGCTCCCCCTCTTCTCCTTCACCTTCTGCAAAAGCTTCATCGAACTTCTCTATATGAGAGCCTACGAAAACTTCATCATGGTTGATGTCAGTCACGACTTCTTTGGTGACCTCTGACTCCGGCTTGTCAGCGCCTTCACGAAAGCTGTCGGCATGCTGAGTGCGTGCAGGCGAGAAGCCAGCATAGATGTCTCTGTCTTCGATTTCCGGCTCTGGTACGGAGATCGCCATGTGTCCATTGGGCCCTGCGACTGGCTGCACGGGCACCGCTGGCTGCATCTCATCCGAGAAGACTCGGTCGGTGGGAGGACCAAGCCGCACTTTCAGCTGTGGAGTTGGCGAGAGAGTCCTGCCAGCATGAGCATCTTCGGTCTGAGCTTGCCCTTGATGCGATGGCTGGGGCACCACAGGTGCCATGTATTCTTCAGTGAAATTGCGGATCATGCCTGCAAGCTCTGAGGCTTCTTTCTCTTTCTGCCGCAGAACTTGATTCCAGCGTGCACAATCCTCCGCAATGGCTGAAGTGCGCCTCCAAAGTGCCTCCAGCATTGCTTGCTGACTCGTCTCGGATGTGCCATGGCGACTCACTGGCAAAGTCGCCCGGGTTGGAGGGAGGGTTTGGCCATGAACGAGGTGCGGTGAAGGCTGTGATGCCTGGCTGTAGCAGGGGGTCGCCCGAGCCGGACTTAGATGACGCTCAACTGGTCTCGGGTGTGGAGATGGAGATGCAGCCTGCGGGTGTGTGGTGGGCCCGGGAGGTTCCTGCGGCGTCTGTGTCGCGTGAAACTGTCCCTGGACAGTACGAATATGTTGCATGCTGGCAGGGAGAGGACTCCGCGCAGGTGAAATTGATCGAGAGAAGGGCGACGGCGCTCTCGCATATACCGGGATGCCACACTGCATCTGAAGCGGCGCCGGCACCGCAAAGTTAGCCTCGGCACGATGTCCGTACATGTGTACATCTCGAAACTAGAAAAACCAATGGTTCTCCGCAAGCTTCCGTGATGTGCACTCCAAGTAGCTGCTGGCAGCGAGACTGGGCGGACTTGAAGTTCAGGCGACTGTGGGGTTGGCAAGGGCTGCGATGGAGGTGGCGGCGGTGCAGGAGGCGGTCCCGGAGGCGGCGCTGGAGTCGCTGGAGGCAAAGGAGTCGACCTGCCGCAATGAGCGCCAACCATTGTCATGAGAATTCTTGACGAACGTTTTAGCAAGGGTGCATGTGCTGTCATCCTCTAGCAGCATGGCTGAAGTCCCCAAGCCCGTGCCTTGGTACAGGCAGTGGGCCCGGAGCTATGCTGGCTCCACTCCTCAACAGCCTCAGCGTCCAATGTAGAACCTCTTATAGTCTTATAACCAATTCCGATAAGGCCGGCATCACAGACATTTCCGAAAGCCTTCGCGATCTAGAATCTATAGATACTCTTGGAGTCTTTCACATCCAACGGTGGCCAATGCTTCTGTCCACACACGTCCCGTCAACCTACGACAACTGCTTTCTTCGACACTGACACAAAGTAGACACTTGTAGTCGGCGTCTCTCGGCCACGGGACAACGGTGTGTGCGGAATCGGCGCGCAGCGCAATGCTTCGGCTGCAGCCTGCTGGGCCCTCGCCAGCCTAAGTCCGAGACTTTCCAGAGTCCAGAGGAAGTAAATTGCATCTCGCCATCAACATATGCTTCCCTCTGAGGTTTCGCTTGCCGAGCATCTGCATTTCGGTCTTCTTCTCCAAAGGTGCCTCTCCTGCTTGCTCGTGGAAGATCCGCCATCCCTGTTGGAAAGCCCCCTCCATCTTTGTCGCTGTGCGGAGATGCTTGTGGAAAGATTTTTGTCAAAGGCTTCGATGACTCAGAGGCTCAGAGGCTGTCGTCGCAATGCGGTAAGGGGGTGTTTGGGTTTTGAGCAGCGGTGGCCGTCTGCGAAGATGTTTCTTGATGCAGCCCGCCTTAGTTCACAGCCTTGGACCCAGCAGCTATGCAATGGCGGCCGGCAGTTTCAGATCCAAGCATAGCTGTCAGCAGGGCTCACAGATGCTGTCTGCAGACCGGTTCAACTAGATGTTGGAAGTCTCGCACAACTCTCCCTTCTGCCTTGTCGGCCACAGCAGCACCGGCTGCCTCCTTGAGGTAGGCTCGGATGGCCGCCTAGGTGTCGGCATCATTCCGTGAGCGGCAGCACGACCGTCTCCGGCTAACAGAAGCACGGCTATATTCTGCTCTGTGCTGAAGTCTGTGCTGGATCCTAGCCTGTGCTTGATAACATGGACAAACGCGTGAAAATAAACCGGTTTGGCCCGAAGGTGATTCCGTGATCTCTCGCCTGCGTTTCCTCCGCCTGCTCTGGCGTTGCCACCTTGCCGGTCCCGATCGCCCAAACTGGCCTCGAGATTTGCGATGGCCAGTGTCGGAGCCAAGATCGGATCAAATGCTCTCAGAAACAGACTCGTAAGCGATGACGATCTTGTCCCAGTCCTGTGAACTCACATGAGACCTACGACATAGTTCTGTTGCTTCTTGCAGACTCTAGTCGCACCACCTTGATTTTTGGCAGGACGGCTCCCAGCTGCCGCTTGTTGACCTCGTCGGTTTTTCCTCCTTCACCTTGGTCTTTCCGGAGGCGCAAACCGAATCTAGCTTGAGCTCCTGAGCCTTCTACGCTCCTCCAGGGTCTCGCCAATGCAAAGGATGACGTTGAGACCTGCGTCCTGGCATTTTGCGACCTGGGTTTCTTTGCAGCCCGAGCAAGCCACGCATGACACTCTAAGCGGAAGCCGATGTCGAATATGCCGTCAGGCTTCCTTCTCTGCAACATCAGCGTCCGTCTCGCCGTACTTCGTTCTCCGCTCCGAGTGCCCGATGAGAGTCCACGAGATGTTCTTGGCTTTGTTGACATGAGCCGCGCTTCGGATGCTACAAGCTGGCAGCACCTACAGGACACCTTGACGGAGGATCAAATCTAAGACAGCCTAAGAATATCCATGGCTCGATATCTAGCAGGTTGGTCGCAGTCCACTCACCTGAGTTACGCATTCCGACAACAAGAAGGGCCAACAAACGTGAAAGCCGGCCCTCTTCAGTCTTCGGCAATCGCTAAGACTCCTTCATGTCTTGCCAAGCTTCCGGTAAAGGCTCCGGCATCATTTTTCCCAACATTCTGCGCACAGGTGCTCATGTCAAGGGCCTCGCGGAGAACCATCGCCAGTGAGATGCTGGAAAGGTCAAAAACAGAAACGAAGCTGACGCGCCTGGATGGACTCATTCAGAGAAAACATCCAAAGTGCCGGCGGACAGATCACGACGTCCACTTTGCCTAGAGATGCCAAGCCGATGCATTTGCTGAGCAAAAGCTCCATGCAGAACCCAATGTGGCCACGGGGCTCTTGTCCACATTTGGCAGTGCCCTTGATGCAGCAGGCCGCAATGAAGCTTAAGCCAGCAGAGCGTGCTGGTTTCAGCGAGTATTCAGGCAGGGTGGCCCGTGTCATCTCTGCCGAGCATCTTCTTCCAATCTTTGAGGAGTGTGTTGGCCTCGCGCAGCGTCGCGGGATTGCACTTCCAGTTGCCGCCCACGATGAATTTGCCTTTGCTTGCAGCAGGTCTGAAAGGACCCGGCAGAAACCAGCTCTTCAGTATGTTCGTAGTTGAGTCTCACACATGGAGCAGTAGACGCTACCATGAAACGGGAGATGCTGGGTCCCACTGCGTAACATGCACTAACAAACGAAGAAAGTGTGAACATGCTGGAGCTGTTAGCAACAGATTCTGAGTGAGCTCCAGCGAAAGAGCCGTCACAATCTCCCTTACATCTGACCACCCGTTGGTCACTCTGATACGTGGGCAGCAAGGTGTCTAATGTGAGTCGGAAACGCCTCTCCTACTTCGGAGTATTCCTAATCCTCCGCCGTGCTACTACTGCTACTGCTAGTACTACACCTACTACACCTCCTACTACACTACCACTACTGCTACTACTGCTGCTGCTGCTGCTGCTACTGCTGCGGCTACTGCTCTACTACTACTACTACTACTACTACTACTACTACTACTTCTACGACTACGACTACGACTACGACTACGACTACGACTACGACTACAACTACGACTACTACTACTACTACTACTACTACTCCTGCTACTACTACTACTACTACTACTACTACTACT